AGGCCACTGCTATTAGGTTGGAGGCCATTGCTACTAGTAACAAGAAGGTACTAGAAACTAGAAGCTACTAGGAGGAGGCCACCGCTAGTAGGTTGGAGGCCATTGCTACTAGTAACAAGAAGCACCACGGCTCTCCGCCCTCCGCCCAGTTGGGCGCCACTGAGCAGCTCCTGAGTGCAGATGGCCGCCGAGACTTTGCACAGGAGGAACAAGTAGAGATGGGACCCCAGACGCAGCCGGTGAAGGGGTGAAGGCTGGGGTGGTGGAAGACCAATGCTTTATTGGTGATGTATGCTCTAAAGGATTCAGCTATGGCCTCCAACTTACTAGCGATGGGTTCCAACCTACTATATAGCTCTAAGTTGATGCTTTATTGGTGATGTAGACTTGCATGTGTGCCCTGAGTAGTTGGCTTTCAGCACAAATGCAATAAGATTGCTCTTGCCTGCGGGTGTAAGAGAACTGATTGTCAGGAAGCTAAACATAACACTGGACAGCGTCCCCGTTGTGCGGCATAACACTGTGACACTGAGTAGGCATCGTTTGACAGGTTTCAATCAACATTCCGCCTATTTTGCTGTTCTGAGGGCAGAGAAGAACGAGATGATGGTCCTTCAATCCATTAAGGCCATGAGGGCATATGATTCTATGTTTTTTGGTTCCTTGAGCTGACAACTTACAATGGATGTAGTTTTGTGAGGCCGGTTGAGGTTGGATATTTCTTCGCCCGTTGCACGGGCGCTGTGTGGTATTTACAATGTCTTTAACTTCGAGATATGAACTAGCCGCTAGCCACTGTTTAGCTTGTTCCCCTGCAGGATGCTGAGACAGAGGCCCAGCGCAGGGTGAAAGGCCGCAACACTGTAGTGGGAGCGCCTGCAACCAACAAATTTGGTACCTCGTCCGCAGGCAAGAATGGGACTGGCTGGTGAATGGCAAAATTTGTAAATCATTCCCCAAACAATTTACTATCAATTTATAAATCTATACAATTTACTGTCGGGGTTCTCTCTTCGGAAAAAAAGGAGCTGGCCACACTAGCTGGCCGCTCCCCTGAACTCTGTGTCCGGCCTTTGCGTCCGGGTCTTGCGGTCCTCCTTTTGTTTTGTGGCCGCGCTGTCCTCTTTTCCTTCTCTTTTCTTGTTGTTCTCCTGCTGCTGCCATCCTCTGGCTGCGCTGGTGAACCCTGTGTCTTCTCTGGTCCTCCTACTGTCCTCCTCTTGCTTCTAGTGGCCACGTTTGCGAACCCTG